TCTGGAGACGTTCAGCCACAAACCGCGGGTGGTCGCCGAGCGCCAGTGTCTCCTCAGCCGAGCGCTCGCACCAGCGCTCTGAGCCTGCGGTTCCTCTCGTTCTGAGCAGGATTACTATTGCCAGAACACCTCATCGGTAGGGTACAACTAACCCGTCTCACGACGATCTTTAGGCACCAAACCCCATAATCTGAAGTATCTCGCTTTCCTTCTGTAGCCTAAGGAAACAGATACAGTCTTTTCAGAGTACGTTCCAGACACGCAGTGGATTGAGAAGCCTTCTAGCCCTGCTGTTTACTGGAGGCAGCATGTCCTGATTTCACTGCCTTAGACTTTAACTCTAGGACAGCCTAAGCAGAGCTGATTGCTGGCTCAGAAGATCTCGCTTTCCCTCCCCATCCATTTGAACTACTCCAGGCCTGTGCTGCACTGTTTCACATGGTAATCTGGCAGAAATTTAAAAAACAACACTGGGTTATTTTCTGCTAGATTGGCTGTTAATACAGAGAATTAATACAATAGAGCTGTTTTCTGGCTCCTTAGGATTATTGGTTTGGAGCTGTACTGTGCAAGTAGCACTCCAACAGCTTTTGAAGAATTAAATGTTATCTACCATTTTGCCTGGAAACAGCTTAGTGACAGTGATGTAAGCCAGATATCTGGCTGATTGCACAATCCCATCTTCAGGGGTGTAGCAACACTGATTGCTTGGGCTGACAGTCAGCAAAACAATTTTGTAACACAGAATTATACAGTAAGTCTCATATCCCAAGACTTCAAGATTATGATAATTTTTCAAAAGATCTTAAAAATGCCTGGGGACAGAGAATCAAATGTTTTAAGAAAAGGAGGACAAGGGGGACAAAACTAATAAACTCCTCAGACATATGAGTTCTGCTAAAGACAATCTGAGCAAACCAGATCACCTGTTGCTTTCACAGATGCCTGGGAAAGACTCACAAACCAGCACAAGTATATAGTTTCTGGATTCATCTCAATATCATTTCAGTCTCTAGCTATAACTAAATGGCATTCTCAGAGCATCTAAACCACACAGATGAGACCAAATATTTATCATTTATCTGCAAGAAAACTGAAATTTGAAATGATTTAGAGGGTTTACTACTTCAACTCTGCTTATTACATTAGGCTTTTTAGATTTATAGATGACTAACAGAAAAATTAATATCTATTACAGCAAAAAAAAAAAATTCCTTTTTTTCTCTTCAGGGTAAACCAAGACCCAAAATCACTTGGCTGAAAGACAATCAAACTCTGGAAAGCAAAGATGTGGGAATTCGGAACAGCAACACAGACACAATCCTTTTCATCAGAAAGGCAGAGCTTCATCACTCAGGAGCATATGAAGTCACTCTTCAGATAGAAAACATGACCGATAAAGTTGCAATAACAATCCAAATCATAGGTAAGAACCTGGCAACATCAAAATTAAGAAGATAATCCAAAGCAAACTAGTGGCCGGATTGAGGCAACCCAAAGATCCATGTACCTCAGAATCCCTTCTCTGTCAATGGTTGATTGCAGATGACTAAGACAAAGCTCAGAGCAGGACTAGCTCGTCACTTTATTTTCTTACTGCGTGTTCCCATCTTGAAATTACCTGTCCTAGAGACTTTCAGGGGATTAGGATTTTTTGTGTGTCACATACCTCTTAAGGGATTTTTTTTTCTTGCCCGTTGCTTTAATCCAGGTCTAGTTTTAGAATCCAAATATCCTTTTCTAAGGAATTTCAGTTTAAGTACATGTACAATTGCCTATTTGGTTTGGTTTGAGTCTCTCTCCTGATAATCTCATTTGATGTTCATACAGTTTTTTATCAGAAAAAAAAAAAAGAAGAATCATTCACCTTTTCCATGCTACTAATGATTTTTTAGGCTTCAGTCATAGAATCATAGAATCAACCAGGTTGGAAGAGACCTCAGAGATCATAGAGTCCAACCCTACTGTCGTCACTAGCCCATGGCACTAAGTGCCATATCCAGTCTCAGCTTGAAAACCTCCAGGGACAGTGAATCCACCACCTCCCTGGGCAGCACATTCCAATGCCTGAGCACTCTCCCTGTAAAAAATCTCTTACTAATATAAGTCACACTATCCTCAGTTAACTTTCTCAAATTTTAGATTCTTTGTTTGATTATTTTAAAACAGATCTTCTCCATACCTTTGAGCATCCTTATCAACCTTCTTTTTACCTTTTTGAGGGGGATAGAAAGAATGTGAGAGTCCTGGTGTTCTTTGGAATCGCCATGTTGTTTTCAGGAAGAAAATACCAATCTTCGAATGCATATACTCTGATTTGGTTATTTCAGCAGATAAGAACACCGAAGATAAAATCACTGCACTAATATACATGCACTCTTCCAAAAATTAGAAATTACAATGAGGCCTAGTCCTGTGAATTTAGAAATTTCATGTTTAATGCCTTACTCTGTTAAGAGTGTCTAGTTAGCTTGAGGCCTATTCTCTGTTACACAATTTCCAGTCTCTTTTCTCATGTCATTTTGAAGGAATGCACTGCCAAAATTTCTCTAACTTTCCATGGGATTTTGTGAGATATATTCTGAGATCTTGACTACTCAGATTTCATTCATGTTCAGTCAGAGGTCTTCATTTTCTCCTCATTACAGTTCTATGTAACATTCTTGATAACTGTTATTTCTCTTTCCCCTCACTTTCACACAGTCATTACAAATTTCCTCCAATGTATGAATACAATTTTAGAATATGTATTTTGTCACAAAAAGAGTATTTAAATGTAACGTCTAATGTTTTGGACTTAAAGCTGCTGATTGCACTCTGTTTAAAGTTTCATATACTAATGCTGGCATAACAGGTATGCAGTGGTGCCAACAGTAAACAAAAAGGCATAACAAATTGGAGCAAATATGTCTCAATATCAGCAGCTGCTTCTGTTCAAAAGCATGGCTGCAGTTTTGTAAGAGCAAAATAAATAAATGGAAGCAAAACCAAAATAATCGTAAGGCTGCCGAGAGAAGCTGTGGCTGTCCCATCCCTGGGAGAGTTCCAGGCCAGGTTGGATGGAGCTCTGAGCAACCTGGTATGTTGGAAGGTGTCCCTGCCCATGGTAAGGAGCTTGGAACTAAATCTTCTTTAAGGTCCCTTCCAACCCAAACCATTACATGAGTCTATGGCAAAGGAAAAGGGGAGTAGTGCACCCTACACACCAAATTACCTTTCTAAAACTTGTTAGTGACTCTTGATTCTAGCACCTTGCTGTTAGAGCACAGTATCAAGTATCCCCCACCCACTGTTTGGTACTGTAGAAAGTCATAAAAACATACATGTAGCATTGCTAAGGAGTTCTTTCGTATAGAAAATGTATGGCTGAAAAAAAGAAAGCAACTAATCTTAACACACAGATTAATACATGTCAGAGTTGGAGAACAAGTATTAAACTTTTTACTTCTTGGGCAGCTTACTCAGCTGAAAGTAAAGTTAATTTAATTTAATTCCTGACCAAGAAGAGAAAGGGCTTGTAACATATGCAGATACTTCTGCAACCAAGGCATCTACTCTGATTCTTGATTCTGTCATTCTGTCATCAGAACTACCTCTTTTCAATTCTGTCAACCATGCTTCTGTCTTCCCAGATTTTATATTTTCTTGGCAGGAGAGAAATAGGGGTGATTCAGGCATTCTTTCTATACTGCTACTGCTTTAGGTGCTGTAGAACAGCATAGTGAAAAGCCAACCCAGCTTTCCGAGATGCAATATCTCAATCAGTCACCTTTTGTGGTATCTGTTCACCAGCTAACTTCACTTGGGACTTGATGAAGGAGCAATGCTTGTGACTTCAGCCTTTTTTTTTTTTTTCTGGAGTAAGGCAAAAATGCAGGTAACCACAAGCTCTGCTGCTATGATGAGTTACATGTCAGTTCCAAAGAAGAGGAAACACTTCTATTACTGTCTTCAACTGCACTTTTTGCCAAAACAGTTGCTAGTGTTTACTCTAGAGACCTACAAAATAGGCACTTCTACTATGGGAATACAGTATATTTAAAATACTCATTGACAGGTCTTAGATAATGAAAACATCTCTAATCTCTGGAAAATATGTTTCCCCAGCATTTCCCACCTTTATATGAATCAATAAATTATGCCTTCCGTTATGTCCTCTATTGACCAAAGCAAACTTCAGTTCTGTATTAAGTTTTCTAACTGAAATTATTTTTCTTATTATGTATTATTTAAAAATATAAATTATCATTTATTTTGAAAGCCTATTAAGATTTATCTCTTCTTCCTGTTCTATAAATTTAATTAATCAGCAAAAATTCTCAGTTGAACTGTGCTGAAGGTTACAGAAGACTTCCCAGAATATAAATCCCCACTCTAAAACAGCATCCAACAGAGAAAAATAATTGGTACAGAAGCATCACTAGGTTTAACTTTCCCCACCCTCTATCACCAGCTAGATATGTACAGGTTAGTACTGAGAAAGGAATATTCTACAAAGGAATTAATAAATATTCTTGCAGATTACATTGTCCCATCAAACCACAAATCCATTCAGCAAATTTATCTATCTCTGCCTTTTGTGAGACTGTCCTTCACACATACACACGTATGTAGGATGAAAAATTCAGAATAGCTTATTTGATTTCTCTGTAATGAAGGTACACATAGAGATGGAAAGGATTTCCTTTTCTTTTAAGTTGTGGTTCAAGATAAGAACAAATGCATTTCCACATCTCCATAAGCAATGTTGTTCACTTGACAACACATTACCATTCATACTTCAGAAACAGGAGAAAACAAAAGAAGGCTTTACCTGTTTGGTAGCTGTTGACAAACACACAAGCTAGTAGGTTTTTCTCTGAAATGTTAGTGTGAGATAGGAAGAAAGAGGATGATAAATGTAATGAGAACAATGCATTCCATATTCCTTATCGAACTTCAGGCAGTGTTCTAGTTGGCACCACTGAAGAGGACAGAAGGAGCTAAACCTAATAATAAAGCAGGCTTTGATTCCAAAGTACGCCAGTGGAAAGAGAATTATCATATTATGCTTTGATATAGAAAGTCACAGTTCCCCTTGCAACAACAGCTGGTTTATTACTGGTTTACACACCCTTCTTTAAGGAATTACATTACAAGCAATCTATAATTGCATTCCCTTGTGTTTTGCTCATCTCAAACCTACACCATCAGATTCTTACAATTTTCTTCATTTTTTTCAGCTTACCTAGAAAAAGGGGAGACAGTTTCCAATGAGCTATCTAGAATGATCTTGAAATATTCTTCACTCAATCACCATCTACCCAGCCCTAGTGATCATCTCCCCAACAGGCCCTGTAACTGTGAGCAACAATCTAACGTATCAAAAAGGAGAACCAGTGTCTTCAAATTAAAACAGACAGGAATATTATTCAGTTAATCTAATTTAAAAGTTACAGCACTTGATTAAACAACATCAGTATATATATGAATGATTCTTAAAAAGGAAAAAAGAAAATTATAATTTCATGTTATATGTTTTTCTATGTATTTCCAAGTGTCTTAAAATGGACATAGACTTTTTTATCTCTTTGAAAGTTGGTTCTTTTTCTAGTCATTACAGAGAAATGTCACTAGTTGGCAAGCTAGCAAGCACTGAGATAACAGGAGAAAGTCAGGCATACTCCCAAATGGCTGGCCTTCCTCAGCTGGGAGGCATACACACACCATTGCCTTGGTCATGTAGCTAAATGGCTGAGAAATGTATTGAAGTACCAAAGTAATAAAACTGTAATTACAAGTTAATCACACCCATTCAAACAACACAGAATTCTTATTCCATTTTAAAGAAAAGTTTGTCTGGTTCCTATGTTACTAGTTCTATTGTGTTGTCTATTTCTCAGTAGTTTTCAGCCCTCTCAGAAGAGTATTAAGAGGGTATTTGAAAACTTCCCAGCTTTCTCGTTTACGGTTTCAAGTTCACATAAATGAAGCATATTGCTACGAAACATTATAGATTGCTATCAGATTCTCTTTGTTTCCCTGCATGGGAGGAAATGACAAAGCTCTTGAATCTTGAACGAAATGCCAAGGGTTTTTTTCATGTCTCCTCTGCAGATAAGCCTGGTCCTCCTCAGAATGTAAAGCTTGTAGATGTATGGGGATTTAATGCAGCTTTGGAGTGGACACCTCCCCAGGATGATGGCAATGCACAGATCTTGGGCTACACGGTCCAGAAAGCTGACAAAAAGACAATGGTAAGAACACGCACTGAGTCCATGACTTTATATGGAGTTTAAACTCTGGGAACACAGAGACTTGAGAGAAACGGCTGAATTCATGACTCTCAGTTGTGTCCAAGGTGCTCTATGGCATATCAGAGACAGTTAAACATTGAAAAACAGAATTTATAAAAACCCCAAAAGGTGAAACATAGAACTGCATAAAATGCTCAGTAGTAAATGTAAAAGAGAGCAAGCCTGTGCCATCTCTGGTGGTGACTGCACAGGTAGCTCTGCTTAGACGGTGGAATTATATTTTTCATTTGGAATTATATTTTTATAAACACAGCAAAAAGCTGAAGGGGAGTGGGGCAAGAGTGAGACTTGAACACAGATGCTGGGCATGCAAGGGTATATACTGGGAGAGGTATGTCATCTTTCCCATGGAGGTCTCCATCAAGTAGTCACATTCTGAGTACACATCTTGTGCCAGCTTCCCCAGATGTAAGTAGGCCTAAATGGTAGATATCTGAGGGTTTTTTTTCTCAAAATGCAGATATTCATATATGTCACACCAGCCAGCATATAAAAGTAAGAAAATAGATCACCTGATTTTCACAGGAAGCAATGTAATATTAATTTTGCAGGTTAGTGTCAAATACCTGTCTACCTGTCTTTTCCCTGTAGCAAAAAGGATCTCTTCATACGAAAACTAGCACCGTGTCTGACCTCTCATAATATCTTTCTAAACAGTATAGTCTTGTTACAGGAATGGTATACGGTTTTTGATCACTATCGTCGCACAAACTGTGTAGTGTCAGACCTGATTATGGGAAATGAGTATTTTTTTCGAATCTTCAGTGAAAATTTGTGTGGATTGAGTGAAAATGCTGCAACCACGAAAAATCCTGCCCATATCCAAAAAACAGGTAACATATTCTTTAAAAAAAAAATCACAAAAGCCACTATGGACCAGAAGTAATACACTGGCAGATGGAAAATACAGTGTTACTAGATGCACTACTAGAGATATTTTCATTATTGAGTAACTAGCACTTATCATTACTTGGTAGTTAGCACTTACAAAGAATTTCAGCATCAAGAGCCCGTATTTAGGCAGATCTCTGTACTAATCCAAACAACTGCTAAGAATATTTAATCACAGTGTTCCTAAACTATATTATTTTAATAAAATAATACAACTAAGGGATGATACTTACATTCTGGGGTTAAAAGTTTAAGATGTCTGTGATGGAGACTTTCTCTGCAGACATATGGCCATCATATTTTTAACAGAAGCTGTTTTCCAGGACCTTTTACCTTTACTAACACATTAAACATGAGATGTGTTTTAGAGTGAAATGAATGTAAAGATTTGTTTATCACAAATGCCAAAAGCTTTGCAGCTTCTCTAGATACAGGCAAAATAAATGACAAATAGATTGTACGCAAATCAGCAGAATTGAAAACACAGTTCTTACTATTTTGCTTCTTTGAATTGCAGGCACCACTTATAAGCCACCTAGCTACAAAGAACATGACTTCTCTGAACCTCCTAAATTCACTCACCCTTTAGTAAACCGTTCCGTGATTGCAGGATACACCACCACACTCAGCTGTGCTGTCAGAGGAATCCCCAAGGTACAGATCACAACTGTCGCTGATACTGTTCCAACAAGTGAAAATGCCTAGGATTCATGGTCAGTTCAGTGTGGCTGGAGGGGAACATGGCTGTATTAAAAAAAGCAGAGGTCACCCAGTCATCTCCCACCTTGCTCACCACTGAGCTTAGGCAGAGTGCATGGTGCAAGCGTTTGGGTGGTTGTATGCAGAACCGCCAGGCAATGCAGTAAAGGAGACAGAGGGAAGGACAATCATTGCCTGTGGTGACACTGCACCATTGAAAATGTGCCATGTGTGCATAAAACCTACTCGTTGAAGAAGGTAAAGAACAACAAAAAGTATCTTTTTGCAATGCATTTATTTTTCTCTTCAGACTTTGATTAAAATAGCAGCAAACATAATATACTCCTCCATTAACCTAAATGATACACAGGAACAGCAGGTTTTCTGCTACATCCATACATCCATATCAGTTTTTGAGAGTCTGAATTATTTTTCAAATATGACTAGAATAAGACCTGCCCTTATGTGTGAAGTGGGGGTATTTTCGGGGGAGGGAGGGTGGGGAAGTGATGTTTGGGTATTTTTAATCTCACAGGCATATTTTCTCAGTCTAAATATATTTGAATCATAGAATCATAGAATCAGC